ATTTTATTAAAAAATTAATACATTGTTTCCAAAACTCTTGAGATATTTATTGCCACATATGTTTTATTCTTAAATAATTATATCCTATAAAACTTATTTTAAAGTATTTGAATTTAACTAATATTTTAATTCTTTTAAACGTTGGTATGTTTTTAATTCGATATTCAATTTAAGTAATATTTTAATCCAATTAAATGTTGGCGCAATGTTTTTATAGCGGTGTTTATATTCTATTATATGAAAGTAATAATTTAACCTTACTTTAGCATTTTATACTCTTAATAAATGTATTTATTTACATTTGCCAGCCATCTGAAAAAACAACGTTTTCAACAAAAAATTAATCCATTATTTTTAACGATATTTATTTTTTTAAAGTTTCGAAAACTTTACTATGCGTAAAAGACGTAAAAACAGCATTTTCAAGATGGCTGACGATTATAAAAACCGCGCCAACAATTGCGCCAATGTAAATCGCCAAAATCCGTGCAACCGTCTACCAAAGTAGTACCCGTAATTGTTGTACGGAATCCGAAATACATAAATTTCGTGGAGTAGAAAACAAAACATTCTAACTGAATTTTTTGAGCAACATTAAATTCAGTGACTATTAAAATATCTTGTAATTCCTGTTGTTCGATGTAATTTTTAGTATTTTTAATGATGTTAAATTTTTTTTTTATTTGCAAAAGAGGTCTTTGTGCTTTTAATGTGTTGTCTGCGTGTTTTGTGACTTTTCCTGGTCCCGTCTCACTTTTTGAAGGATAAACAAGGGAGCATGTCCAAGAGTCTTCCCAAACCAACAAATCACTCGGAAGGTTTTTCCGCTCACCATGTATTTTAGGTGACCCCATGCTACAAAGACACTTACTAACAACTAAGTTCCCAATCACATTATGTTTCGGTTACGCAGGATTTGACGTCGAAAGGGACAATACTCAGAACCCGCGCATTTCCAGAAAACCCACGTAACTAGGTTACCATTTTCACTTACTACAAAGACTTGAACACCAAACAGTAATCGATTATCGCTCAGATTGGGATCACGTGATCCTTCAGAAGGAGAAATCGTCTGATTGGTTGATCTCTAAACGGGACAGAGCTCCGGCCGAGACATTTTCGGTGAGGTTTGAAAAAATCCCGCGTAGCCGCTACATTGTTTCCGTAGCTAGGCGGTCTTCGCTTCCTGCGGAGTTCTTTTTTCTAGGAATCCTCCCGTTCAAACCAGTGCTACAAGAATCACGTTTCTCAGAAAAGTCCACGTTTAGAAGGGTCTGTCCCCAGATGTGATAGCCTCTTAATACTTGTCCGGGATTCGAACCCGGATCCAAAGATACCGCAGCCAGCAGTACTAGTCAATATAACGATCAGGGCAAAGAATACTGATTTAATTTATGTAACCAAATAAAATTATTCTCCAGATTAAGGTGCTGGAAAATACAGGTAAATTGCTAAAGTATTTTTCTTTTATTTCTTTTTCTATTAAAAGTATTTTTCTGTTCAATAAAACAAGATTTATTCCTTTCCCCTGAGTTTCATAATTGCCTTTGCATTAATTTTCATTTTGAATGAACTGTATATGTTGGCTGAACGGGTGTCTTCATGATTCTCCGCAAGGGTAACATGGATACGAGCCAGTTTCTCTTAGAAAGTACTCCATGAAGACATGCCTCCCCCTTAGGCAGATAGCCGCATGTGCTTTGCAGTATTCAAAGAATCAACCAATCGATGTTAATTTAATCTATATGCATTTCATCCTTTTCTCTTGTTATTTATATTCTTTAAAATATGCTGTCCAGTTTTACATAAGTATTCGTTTTATCAAGTGTGTTAGTATATAGACAATCTTCAGTTAATACAAGAGAATATATTAATATACCAATCTAGTTTTTTGCACTATTTAGAAATCAAGCCGTGAAGATAGTTATGAATATTTTTCACTATTTATAAGCTATGGTATATTTACAAAAATTTAGTTCTTGATAGAAATTATAGTACATTGACTACCATACGTAACTAGAAATTTTTTATTATATGACAACTGCTAAATTCACTGCCTTTACTATTCTATGCAAAATAATCACTAATAATTCCAGATATGCCTAAATAGTTTCAGAAATAGCTGAAACTCCTTTTACCGAATGCTCAGTAAAAAAGCAGAAATTTGTTTATGAAAGAAAGGTCTTTCAAGACCTCGGAAAAGTCGTTACGCAGAGGGTGTTATCCCTTTCTCTTCAATGAACTAAATTCTGTGACTATGCATATAATACAGTAAAACGAAGATCCCCATACTTGATAATAACAGATACTTACGTATTATCCCAGTCGCCTTAGTAGAAATCATCAAAGCTTCAGAATACATCAAACTTTAGTAACCACGCGCACAACAATTATTCACTCAAATATGTGCATGGCAAATATTCATTTTCCAACGTCGCCATTTTCACATGCTTTCTTTTTGTTGTTTTCCAAGTTTCAACTGCTTATGTGAAAAAATTATGCTTAATTTTTGTCTTAAACTTGATTTTAAAATTTGTGCTCTTAGAAATTTCCTATAATAGAGAAAAGGGTGGTAAAATTTCTGCCGCATACATTATTTTGTCGCAAAATCTCTGGAGGAACAAGGCTTGAATTCTTTCTCAAAGCGATCGCTACATCACAATAAAAACAAACTATGTATGTAATAATATGTATATGCGTGATCCGATATGGCAGTTAAATGCTAACTATGTATGTAATAATATGTACATATGTAATGTATGATTTTTTACAATAAAAACAATTACTCGTTTTCTTCAATAAAACAAAGCAAAGTGACCGCCTGGCAGTTTTCATGGTCTTTCCCATGTGTAACATGAATATCAGCCAATTTGTCTTAGAAAGTACTCTATAAAGGCATCTCACCCCTTAGGCAAATAACCTTCTTGAGTTTTGAGAGAATCCAAATGTTCCAATCCAATCTAATCACCTCGTGCAATAACTAAAATTTCCGAAGTTTACTGAATCAAGTAAGAAAGCTATATAAAATAAGCCTGAATATGAATGAGCTTTTCCTCATAAATTTACGGTTGTAACTTATCATATAACTTTTGAATTAGTAAAGCTTTTGATAATTTAATCTTTGATTCTTGAAATTTTCGTTAAATTCCATACCAACCAGTTACACTACAAATACGGGACACGTTTCCTTCTGTGTAAGAAAGAACGACTTAAACTTGAGAGGCACAATTCAGAACCTAAATGTTTATTTAGTTATGTGTTTCAAACAAATATACTGAAAAATACGGATATAAATTAATATTACTTGATAACTCGAATCCTAATAAAAATGTAGGCAGAACTGAGCATTTTGAGAAACTTGAACAACTAAAAATCTTTCAAGCAAAAAAAAGAGAAAGAAAGCTTCAAAGAAATTTACCATACATCAAATATCCATCGTATTTTTCTAAATGCATACTTAAAATGAAAACTTTCGTACATAATTTAACTGAGTTTTTAATTATTTACAGTTATGTATTTAATTAGCTATCGTTAAATCTCGCTGCTCATCTATTCGCAGAATAAAGATTTATCTTTTAGAAGATAACTGAAATAATGTAAAATTAGTGGGAAACCTTTTATTATTGGTAAACATATGTATGATTTACTTCACTTAATCAAATGGGTACTTTTCCTCTAAAATCATATTACTTGGAGCTTTATTTTTTTGTTTCCGTGTATTTCTTTGGTGCCAGGATCGCTGTAATAAATTTCGTGACTTGCGATTTGCCGGGAGATGAAATGACAGCTATAATGTTTCTTCAAGAAAGAGATATTTTTCAAAAAGAGATAGTGTGTTCGAACACCACTTCATAGAATTAAAATCTGACTTGAAAAATAAATGGCTGCTCAGTCTTCTTTCCCAAAGAAAATAAAAATATGTTTAAACGCAAACAATGGTTTATCGGATCTCACACATTCCTTCGTGATTGCCTGACGGTGTCAGGAGTTAACACGTGCTGTATTTTGTGAATCAAATCTTTCTTCAAATTAATTGCATTGGAATAATTATATGAGAATCCTTATTATCTCGTCCTAACATTAAAATAGATGAACGTTGCACTATGCTATAATGCGCCAGTATGACGCCAAAAATGCATAGTATAGCTTTAACGGAAGAATACCTTTCATTGCAGAGGGTAATTAATAACCTTAAATTATATATGCAGTTAATTACTACGTCTGCATTTACAAATCTGCTGAAACGTTGTAACAATTATTTTAAGTTTTAGTAGCAGTTAAACACAAGCTAAACGCTTTCATTATATTTACGTAACATATAATTGCTCAGATCAAATGCCTTCCTAAGAAAATTTAAAAGCTAGTAAATGCTAACTTAATTCCGCCTTGTTTCGTGAAGTGTTGCTTTCTTGTCAGTTATTACCATCACATATCCAGCTATTTGTGTAACAAATAATATACTGTTTACTGCAGGCCGCGGCGAGCCTTTGTGTTGTTTCAGCTTAGTGAGTTCCATTTGTATTTGGTTAAAAGCAGATATTTTGGTCTAATGAATTTTGATTTTTATATTTGTGCATTTACAAGGCAAGTCATCTTGCAAGAATGACTTTGGAACTTTGCTATCGAAAAGTATTGATTTCAAATGTTGTTTCTTCAGTAGTGAAAATACAAATGGTGAACAAATAAAAGCTTGTTTGAAATTAATCTCTATCAGTTTTATTATAGTGAGCATTACTGCTTGTGACTATTTTGGAGTAACTCGATAAGCAGTCAGATGAATTTATTGTTAACATTAAGGACAAACATGACATTTTCGTATTGTTCAACTTATGAGTAAATTGCCATGTTTTCTTTTGGGTGGCCCAAGACAAACCGAAACCAAAACAAGTGAAGTCTTCCATGTTCACTTCGGTTTATCATCGACCAGCTTGTATTAGGAAAGAGAGTGCAAAAATAAATAATCATGTACATCAAGACAGAGAAGTATCAACATCAAGAGGTTACTATTTTAAGTGCTAAGATATTTATTAAAATAAAGTCAAGTGCTATACAAATATTTTTATTACATTTGTTCCATGCATTGCTTAATACATTTGTTACAATACTACATCACAGTTTCCTAAGTGCTATAAATGAAATAAATAAAAGCAGAAAAAAGTCATATTATTATGAGTAACATTAAGAAAGTGAGGAAAACTGTTTAAAAATATATTTATACGTTTGCTAATAAACGTAAAACGCAGAATAATACTCGGAAACCCTAAAGCAAACGGATTTTGTATTGCCAGAAGTTACACGTTAACTTATCCGATCTAGTCATTTGTTTTCGCGAGGTACTGTAAAATCACCTTCAGATAAACAACTACATATCTTACTGCAATTTTAAACTTAGAATAAATGTTACTAAAAAGAAGTTCATGAGTAATTCGAAATCACAATGATGTCAGGCTAATTATGGTTTGATGTCCATGAAATTAGCTTTATAACGTCAGTAATTGCATTATTTTGATGAAAATAACCATATGGCATATACAATCATCCATAAATAAACATGGATGCTTGCTTACATTTGTAGGATGGGATAAACAGCGGAATTAATGTTACTGCTTTTTGAGGCATGGGTTCGAAATACCGTTTTTTGAAAAAAAAAAAAATGTCATTTCGAAAACACTTCTTGCTCTAATGTCAGGCTGATCTTCTGTCTGAAAAAATATAGATTGAAATTATTTTAGGATTAACAACAAGCCCTAAATATATCCGATTGCTTTAGGAATTGTCGAAATCTGACAGTAGTGGCATCACTGAAATACATAATTATACCGTTTAGCTAAGTCTATAACTTACATAGATGAAAATTTCATTTAGAACATTTTGTTAAGGCTAAATTAATGCTACTTGTTACATATCTTTCCCATAAATACTACTTAATGAGAATGCAAAGAACTTTCTAAACTATAATGAACATCTTACGCAATGACAATGCATATATGCTTTTGTGTGTTCTTTGATATTTACACTACAAATACTACCACTACGGCTGCAAATATTATATATAAGTTTTGTTACATTTTGTGACATGTGCATTACTACTTTACAGCAATAATTGTAGCGGCATCAAAAGTAAAAATTGAAATTAAAATCGCGGAAGGTTGACGTTCACGTAAAATTCAAGTACATGCTCAAAGTTTGGAACTATTTAAGTGGCATATATACGGTGGGTCGTGACGTTTTATTCTTGCTGTTCCACCACACACATAATTGACACCCGAAATGAACAAATATACGGTGGGCTACGACGCTTTATTGTTTTACACATATACACAAAAACGTAAATGACAAGTAAAACACACGAAACAGTTATTTATAATTGATAACTTGGGCAAATGTATAATTGAAACATTATGATAGCGCAGAAAAATCGTATCGTGAAATGGAAGGGGAAAAGATATAAAGACCGTGAATATTTGCTATTTGTTAAGCAATTAAAATCAGTTGTTTCTGTGCGTTTCATTTAGTCTCATTTGTCGGGGTTGCAGTGCTAAGGCAATGACTATATTAATTACTGTGGTGTTAAGACTATGCGTAAGGGAAAAAACAATTAAAAACTGACGAAAACGCACATTATAAAGCAGAAAAATGTTGTGTTTTCTTGTATCGGTCAATGAAATATACATGGCATAGGAAGAAATTCGCATTTTTGAAATTGTTCCAGGAAGGTTTTATAAGAGTATTTGTTTTCATGTTAAGCATATTTTAGCATACATGAACTTAATAATACATGCCTGTAGCGTACTTAAAATTTCTGTTCAGAATTTGGTTCCTGGATAATCCGTCGATGCAATAAGAGACATAAATGACGGAAATATTTTAAAACTAAATCCATAATACCTCTTACGTCTTAATATGTAAATTAAAATTATTTCTAAAAGTTAAAAATTAAATAGATAATAATCTATTTATGCAAACTGGAAATAAAGCTATGCACAAAATCTTCTATTTTGTACGTAAAATGTCCGAATAATTTTGCGAAAGAATTTCGAAAACATATATTATATAAAGAAGGATATTTTTCACGAAACTGCAGTTCGTAGGAGGGTCGAAGGAAGGGAGAAAAACAGGAAACATAAGCAGTCAACATTTTTGAAATTAACAATTATAGAAAACGTTTCTTTAATAAAGAAAAACATTGCATAATCAAAGGGAAAGATGTAAAATGAATTTTCTTATTACTAGTGCTTTCGAATGAAATCAGTGTTCAAACTACTATTTTTTCAAATACAGATTTTCATATCTTGAAACCTATTTTCCATAAATATTCATTAACTTGTTGTATACGTATTATACGAAATTCTTACAAGTTACTTATTAAACCTTCAGTTAATTCACTAGACTTTTTAATCTTCAAATTATCACTCGGAGTGAGCTTTTATTTGGCTCTAAATAATGGAGTCTTTATTCGATATGTTATGCTTGCTTTTGCTGTTTTCTTAACGTTAACGAAAATACAAAATGTGTACCAATTAAGCCAACATATAGAGAAACACCTTTAGTTATAAAAAGGAATTAAAATGAATTCATAAAATATTTCCTATTATTAATATATGAAAGTATGTATCTGTTAAGTAAGACGAAAATATTTTGATATTTCATTCAGCTTCCAACTGTCTCATAACTGTTTCATCAAAAGCTATAAATTTACGTCCATTTCAAAAATTGATTAATGCTTGAAGGTAGATGCTCACGTGCTTGAAATGTGAAACTTCTTTGCATGTAAGTTGTTTCTTGACGAAAGGCAATGATATGAAGATTAAAAGATCATATGAAGCTACGCGGTAATTAAGGAGAATTAATCAGGAAAACATGCTATAAAAGTGACATTAAAACTGCTCTGAGATATTAAGTATAAGTGAATTTCAGAGCGCAAATAACTATTTAACTACAAAAGCTAGCTAGTGCAATTAAAAGTTATTATTAAGTTAATTGGCTGATAATGAATTTCATTGCTGCGTTACATAATCACACTTTTAAGTTTAGTTTAACTCCTAAAACAAAACTTTCAAAATAATAGTATCTGCATATTTGTTAATCAGACACTGACTGGAGACAAGAAGTCTTTAATAAGCTATTATGAACTTTACTTCCTTACTATTTATTATTTAGCACTTTTCCCTTTAAATCAACGGAATTTCAAATACAAATATTACACAAAATTCTCGATTATACGCTGAAAAACCCGAATTTACCGTTCTTTCCTCAGTGTATGGTAGTATTAGATTGTACAGTTAAGCATCTACATGGGTCCCACAATTTATAGGTTCTCAGCCTTTAATGTCAAAAGGTTTCCTGCGGCAAAGGTCGTAAAAATAAGTTAAAATTTAGGTTTCGAAATTGTATCTCTTTGCTTTCTAAGTTATTTATTTACTTCAGTAGTATCTCTTTGCTGGAGGAAATACTATAGCTCTTTTCTGAACACGGACATGATGTAAGGATTGTTTGTGTTTTGCTTCGTTTTACCATCACTGTGAAAAAAAAATTGTTATTTTTTTGAAAAGATGATTTATGACTTCTTTTACTGCAGGAAACGGTGTTAAATAACGCTTACGAAGCATATGCAAATTCTTCTTCTTTACGCAATCATTTTATTTTACTACATGGCTGCACTGAAACTTATCTGCAAACTCCGATCAATAATGGATTTTTATAGCTCACACACAGACTTTTCGGTTTACATGTCTTGTCTAAAGTTTATTGAAGCTTACTGAGATAATAAACGATACAGTTGTACAAGAAAACTGCTCAATAAGAATCTCCCCTCGCTCAGCTAAAAAACGCAAGGGAGAGCTTTAGGAAGATTATAGAGATTTAGTTAGATGCAGATATACAATTCAGGCAGTGTTTAAATCTTCCCATCTCTTCCTTTCTCGTCAAGAGAAACTTAATTCGTAACTTCTGAAAATTATATAGAAACTTATAAACAGATTAATTAAATTTACTTTTTTTTCAGATCGATATTTAATAGGACAGATTAATATTATTTAATAATTATTTAACTAATAAATTAGCATTATACATTTTAAAATTGATAATAAATATGCGAGGTGATTGGAAAAAAGACTTGATATATTAATATTTTAATGCTGTGCATACGTCAGACAACTCAAATGTGACAGTTAAAAATACTTAGAATTTTTTTTGTATATATTTGGGTTTGAATCTCGCACACTAAATAAAACCTTGGGTATTTGTAATGCTATGCAAATATTTTATGCCTGGAGTCGCTTATATATTGAATCTAAAATATTCTTTTAAGATGCATAACATATGCAAAGTTAGCAATTTGAGTTCAATTTATGATATGAAAATCATTAGCATCTGAAAAATTGAGTTCATTTCGCGATGAAATAGCTTTAATTGTAGAAAATCCATGCCTCAGATACTCTTATTTCATTGTTTTTTGCCAGTAATTACAAAAAGTTAAAATATATTATCTGACAGTGCAATAACTAACAATAACTTCGGACTTTAATTATTTAACTTTCTGCAACGGATACATTTATCTGATGTTGTAGTAACAGCTTTTTTCCTGTCATGCAGCGTATCTTAGCGTCAGAATCGGAACCAGTTTGTTGCTTCCAAAAAAAATATCTGATATTTCTGTCTCAGTTTTGTAGAGTTCTTTTCAGAAGCAATTGGAAAAATATATCTTCCTCTTGATAGATTGGAATTTGAAGAAATTCATGAAATAGCATATATTGTTAACTGTTTTGTATACTTATTTTAAATTTCAATAAACAGCTTATGACTTAATTCCCTATTCACATTTCTAAATTTACATAACGAAATTTTTCAACATTCATTTCTTTGTTCCGTATATCCGAGCTTTCTGTGCTGAAACATCCGATAGTTAACCTAACGGGCTTTAATGTTATTAAAAATATTTTAGTACTTTTCAAAAATTCATCTTGCTATAATTACCCATATTTAGAAAACCAAAATTTTTACAACTGGTAATTTTATTTTCACAAATCAGTTACTACCTCCATGGCATTCCACCTTGCCCCACAATCAAAAATCAACGGCAATTCGTTTTGCTTTGCAATTTTATTTTAAAAGTAAATTTTCTAAAAAGCACTAAATAGAAATAAACTTGTGGTTTTAAAAATATGTAATACTTTAAAAGCAGGAAATGTTTTATACATCGCTCTTTAATTGAAACCTCTTCTTTAGGTTCATCTTTTCTTCCTTCTGTATTTTTATTTTTCATTGTTTATCTACAAGCATTTCTGCAAGTTTCGCAGAACTAAAAGCAGTAAAAATAGGTAAACCTAAATGTGATCATCAAAATGTTATCATTTGTATTTGTGGAAGAAATTAATTTCAAAACATGATTTCTGAATGCTCTAGATCGTATTTACATTTGCCATAAAACAGAACCTTTTGTGAAAGTACGAACCTATGTCTTAAACAGATTACACTCTCTTATACCAGGCATTTCCAAAATATGGATCGATTCTTTGTATTGTGTTAAGATCCAATATTATAGATGGATCACGAAGTGCTTTGAAACTTTTCTTGTGTTACATAAAAGAAATTTAATAGTGAAAAGTTGGAGGAAGGGGGTAGAAAGGAAGATGGCGTTACAGTGAAAAATGGGATAAGCAGTTGACATACTTATCAGTACTGCTATCTTATGATTACAACACGCATTTAACTTGAAAATCCACAGTTAAATTATGGCACATTTTCAATGCAGGAAGTCTCTAGACCTTTCGATCACAACATACATGAACTCACGCCTTCATGTAACTGTAAAACGGTGTTAATTTTCATGTCTTCTCTGAGTCGTATCATCATAAGTGTTTTTGGGTTGTTATTGGTTTTCTTACCGTTTATTATTTATTGAGTTGTAATTATATATTTTCTTATTGGATCTCTCAAAACTTTCCCTGTTATGGAGAAGTGGCTGGCAAAGATAACGGCAATGAAAATAGACAAAGCTAAACAAAGAAAAGACTTGAAAATATGATTTTAAAAACTGGATATCCGTTAAAGGAATGCGAATGACGTCGATACGGATACAAACAAAAAGCATAATTCAGCACGCTTTTAATGCATAAATTGCCTGAAATAGCATTTTGTAAAATTATTAATTTAAAATAAAGCTGGTTTACATTTGTATTTTCCTCCTGTGTGTTTATTAAAATTTGCTTTTAAATAGGTCCATATATAGTTGTGATTAAATAATTACCTATGTATAGTAACTTAATAATTTATAGTTATTGATATTTAACTTTTAGTTAATTAACAGTTGCATTACCTTTATTCTAGACATACCGTATTTCAGAGGAGTTATATGGAGTCATAATGAACTTATTTTAAAATCCAAAATTTTAAGAGGCATTACCAAACATAACAACATATACAAGTGATAAGTTATAAAGTGTTTCAGAATGAAATTACATATTCATAGAAGAAAGTTAGAGTTTTAAGAACAATAACTTAAAAAATGTCGTGGGTGTATATGGCATTTTAATCAGTCCTCATGTTTTACTACCTTTGAGTATGTTATGATAATATGACTAGTCGCCTCCCTGCTTGCGCCTAGATGTAAAAACATATGTCTCTATTTTACAGTAGCCACCGTATTACGGTTTTATAATACACAGTCTATAATATCATAGGAGTAAAATATGTTTTCTGGATAAATAATTATTGTAGTTTACATCTTCGATTCAGATTACAAATAAATGGCAACATACGAATCCTTCCTATTTTGAACAGTTCCTTTTCTTCCGGAAGAGAACTTAGAAAGTGGTGCTTTTAGTAATACTAAACAGAATTTCACAGTACTATACTCCACATGGGATACATTTTTACATATGCATATTCACATACGTACATACATATTCATATTTTTCTGCTTTAACAAACATCAAACAAAATCCATATTCACAATTGCTGCAATAAATAAACTAGGCTAGAGAAAGTAATTCACTATGCTAGTACATATTGAGGCGAATTTGAAATTTATATATCTTTAGATCGCTTTTTTTTCATACTGGTTTTAATAGATATATATGCATCCACTGGTCTCAGGGAAGAAATGAGACAAACATATTAATGTGATTTAGGGTGGCAACAACCCAGCCCTTTTATGTTTCTGAGAAATGTTATAAAAATATTGGCAATATTACTTTACACCACTTTCATTCAATTACCTTTTCTTTTAAAGCATAACTGGATTTGAAAGTATTATGTATTTATAACCTATTATCATATAGCTATCCTTTTTAAGGAATATTACTTTTCAGAAACACACAAGTGTGCCTTAATGGGGGACAGTTTTTTCATAAAATATAAATTAAGTAAGTAAAGATGTTTCTAGCTATTAGAAGAGAAATTGAGCCATGCTGTTAATATGGCGTTATCACTGATACTGTTGTTATAAGCTTTGCATGAAAACACAGAGCTTTTACTCAATACTGAAATTAGAAATAAAATCATAAATTTTCTGATGACATTTTCATGTCACCGTGCTTAATTTAAAATATATAATGCAGATGAAGTTTCAATGTTCGTTTAATAACGGATAATGTTTTGCCACCCGACTCAAAATAATATTAATATAGTAAATAGTTTTACAAATATATCCGATATTTAAAAGAAATAGCGAAAGTATAAGCAACATCGTAGTGTTTTAGGAACTAAATAAGATAGTAGGGCCAATAGCAGATATTGAAGATCAAGAAGAGAACTGGAAATCCAACTCGGCACACCTGATCGATACGCTTAGCAGAAATGTTATGAGTGCCTCCGTAGATCTTGACGGCTGCGTTTTTCTTTTCCATTGGTTCTTCATCTTCAGACTCCTGCTGTAGTTTCAGAGTCTAAAATGAGAGAAAAAAATAAACTCATGTACCTTATTTATAATACATAACTTTCACTAACTCCTCTTTACAAAAGTAATTTTAAATCGGTTAAATGCCAAGATTATATTATCTCCCTCTCCGTTTAGCAGGCTATATCCGATTTCCCAATATGTTGGCGACAAGATATTTACGTAGAATGAGATAGAATACTGCAAGTTTTAATATTGTACATAGTCATTTAACAGTGAATGGTGTGGCCTGAACGAAAAGTATACTGCCAGTCACCGGTGACTCAAGCAGTGCAGACGGAATGCATGATATCAATAACCGGTAATTGGTATGACGCTTAACGTGTTGAACGAACATTTAAATATAAATTAGATGAATACAGTTTATTAATGGTTACTAGTAGGACATGTTGCTAGAAATTAGTTGCTTTACGTAATATCATTCGTAAAACATTACTACATTTCTAGAATCACAGTTTTCAATTACCAAATTAATTGCTTAACAAAAGACTGTTTACGAATTACATCAAAGCATTAAAGAATTAATTAGTACTTCAAATGCAACTAAAATGCGTAAATTCAGGTATGAAGTGAATACACTGCTGCTTGTGTAACTCTACTAATATTTTTGGATGATTACTAACAGTTAATAGGTTAAAATAAAACAAAAACATTATATACTATATAATTAAAAAAACAAAACCATGATAAATTTTAAGTTATAAAACTGCATAATTTTTTGAGGAAATTAAGAATTCAATAAAAATTTTTGAGAGATTAGCAAAATTTATTATTCATCCTTGAGAGAAAAATACTGTAACTCATCACAAACAAGAACTGCAGTAACTGGTCAAATCATCAATGTCTCATAATGAGTAATCATAAGCGTAATAACTGTAATGTTTAACATAATGCAGATTACTGTAAAACGCTATTTGTCAATCTTAATTGGATGCATCCTTTTCAGATAAAGATAACTCACTTTTCGGTTAATCCAAGGCAACGTATTTTCATCAGTTAAAGAAATAGCAGAAACCCATTATTTGGGTCCGCTTAGTTCAATTAAAAATAATTAAAAATTGGCATCTATTTTTCGATTATGTGGAAGTATTGGGGATATATTTATAAGTTCATTTAAATAAACATATGAGATCTAATAGAAATGTATGCAAAAAAATTATTATAGACATTTAAAATATGATATGTGAAAAATTCTGTCAGCATCGCCCCAGATTTATCCAGAGCAACAGTGGATATTGTAAGGAACTGAAGGTATTTTTCCCATGTGTTTTTCTGATGTCGTGTTCAACACATGCAGTTAAAAATGGGAAACCTTTGCGGTTAAATCTTGGTAAGGCTAAAACTGAATTTTCAGAAAGTTATTCTTCGAAAACTTTAATCACTGGGTAGTGATACTCGAACGAAAATTCGTATCTAATTTGATATCGCCAATTTTCTTTTCTCCCATTTTTATCCCCTATAATTGACTATGTTTGTGGCGGGTGGGTTTATAGAATTCAAAGAATTTCTCTTAAATGCTCTGGTAAAGTAAGCATAGTCACTTAATAACTAGAAACTATAAATTCCCGGCCAAGAATTGGTTGAATTTTTTCAAGATTCTTTTCTACATGATGGTCAGTTAGAAAGCTGATTGACCACTGTGTTTTGTTCAATAACTTCATAAAAAATAAAATAAAGTCAGCAGAGAGATAAACTGTGAACTATAGTTACTGAAGTTCTGATGACTTATAATGATTACTAGATGCACCAGCGATAAGGTGTTTTGAGCAAGATTTCAGTTCCTAAATTGATGCTTTTTTACGCTTACGAGTGCGCATTAGATCGTGTTAAATTTAGCATTTAAAACCACGCGTACTGTACGCGCGGCTTGAACACAGGACACCTGATGCCTATATAGATTTTACATTACATTTACATTCAATGCTACAATACACTTACATGCATATATCACTAATGTTCTATTTCAGAAGTTATAAGATTTCTAATTTCAGAAATATTCTTCTGCAAAAATTTAGTATCAGTGATTGGATTGATACAACAGTCTGATACAGCTCCTCAAAAAGTAACAAAACTCAACTAGAATAGTTAGTAGAATATTATTATAATTTATTGAATTTTTAATGTTTCCATTCTTCGTAGTTTAGCAACTGTCAATTAACTCTTTTAGTACAATTCAGATTTTTAATTAACTTAGTTCATCAATAAACATGCATACATGAAAAATTTTGAAGATAAAAATTTATATGAAATGCACTAAATTGCTTATTTAGTTCAATAAAACAAAAGAAAGAGCGATAAATATTTAAAAATAGTATGTTATGTAATGCTAAGATATGTACTTCCGTCAAATAATAATGGAGAAAAGAAGAAAACGTTTATTTCATAAAAATTAAAAATGCTTGCTTTGGGATTTATTGATGCAATGCTCATTTCTTCATCATTTCAATTAAGAGGCTTCATGTTTGGTTTTCCTTATCATTACGATTATTCATCATTTTGGTACTTCATCATTCCGGCTGAGCGAAGTTCTATTAAATGAGATTTTATTGCTTACAATTTAAATTGTTTGAAATCGATCATAAGATCGAATGTTTAAAACTAAGATTCTGAAGTCTGACTTAAGAAGCAAAATTTACACTACATATCTTTTATAGCTTGAGCACATGATAGGAAAAATATATTTTGTGTTTCGATCTCCTGTATTAATGATAGGCATTGTTTCATTCAAAACATAGCCAAAGGAAAGGGACCTTTTATGTTAAGTAATAGAAAGGCATTTACTTTGGCTTAATTTAGGAAGTTCAGTTAAATTTTTGAAATTTTCTTACCTCTTCAGTAACTGTTAAAATACATGTCATAAAAACGGAATCAGAAGAGAAAAGCGAGTATAATTTATGAAATAACTTTATATTCCCTAATTAATTTATAAGATATTAAATATAAAGTTTAAAGTCAAAGCTCTAATGTCCAGAACTATAACAATTAAAGAAACAGAATGTAAATTTATCCAAAGTCAGACTGAGTTTATGATTTTTAAAATAGTAGTTAAGTATTTATTAAAATGTCATAAGCATGTTATTACAGAGAATTTGCCAACAATGTAAATTAACGCGCAATAAATATAAAACCGAGAAAAGAATTCGGTTTTAAATTGTCAAATATGACGAAATTTTTATTGTATTAAATATTTTGAGACTCAGATAAAGTTTTCTATTAATGTTTTAATACTTGCATGTGTGCTCTTATGTATGTACTTTTATATATTAGGAAGTTTACGTCAAATGTTCTTTCAGATACTTTATTACAAAGAAAATAAAAACACTAAAAAAACTAGTTATGAGTAAGATAAGCAACATAAGAACTGGTAGAGGTCGATTATGCTCCCGCGTGCGCAGAAATGACTGTCCTTTCAGAAAAGGCGTCCTATTGTTATCACTATTGGCAATGTTGGTTAGTTGAAATGCAATCTTCTTTTCATTAGTTTTTTTAACGTGGCATAACCCGACGTTTTTTAAAAGTAAAGGAAAATAATATAAAAGTTCAACAATGAATGTTCTTTTCCAAGTTCTTCTTTTATTTATTGATGCGGGATACATTTTTTCTGCATTTGCGACTTCTTCATTTATTTCCTACGAGGTATAAAGTATATTTTCTCAATATTTCTTTGCGTTTGGATTAGAGACGGTAAGAGTTAGACAATATCGAATTTATGCAAGTATTATGTAAACTGGGAAGTGGATATTTATGAATGAGTAGCTCAAATTCTTAAAATATAGCATTTTAAATCGAAATATATACTGACTGTTACTGTGCTTGCTAAATTTTCATACTTGATGTAGTAGCATTAACATAGTTTTAACAAGAGATATTGAAATACTTAGTCTAAATAAAAAAGGACATTTTATTACGATGTAACTATGTCTATATTCGGAAAAGAGAAAATAACTGAATACAGTCAAATATAGAAAGCTGAATTTAATGCGGAAATCCTTTTTTCATTGTTTCCAAACAAAACGTTATGCACTGAATATCATATATACAGCTGGCGCTCGGTCTGAAATTCAATTTTGTTGAATGCAGCTTGGGAAAAATATTGGACTGCAATAGTTTTGAATACTTCTCTATAGACGAAAATTTCTGGCGCGTTCTAAAAATACGGAAGAAACGAAAAGCAATCAAATATGTTTGCATGGAAAGAAAATGAAACAAATTCTTCGACAGGAAATAAAATTCGTTTCAGACGAAAAGTGCATAAATTGCTATAATAATACAGTATATTGCTGTTACTTTAATCTCATCTTTTTCGCAATCTTATTATTAATAGTTGATTTAAAAATGATTATTTTTAGAGCATTTGGCTGTAAAATAGTTTTGTTCAATTTGAAGATAAATGTAAGCGTTTTCTGAACAATATTAATGATATCATGTATGACAGATTACTAAAAATATTTCAATGAATCGCTTGCATTTAAATATAAAAGATCACTTATTATTTATCAAAAAGAATTTGCAACCGACATAAAGGCTATGTAATGTTTTAAAATACTGTCTTAAAAATAAAAATTATAAATTGAAAATAATCCCAATTTTTAATAACTAAATTATCACAGTATTCTTCTTTTAATTAGGTATTTTACAAAACATACTGGAATTTAGGCTGACATTTGATTTTTAATATTTCAATGATTACAAAGGTGTATGTGATGCTTATATGTAAGCTAACCTTAGGACGTTTAGGGTGCTTTTATAGAAGTTTAACTTTACAGATTTCCTATTATGGCACTGTAACATTTTGGACATCATGATTAATTGTTCTATCTAATGACAGTATTTATGCTACAAATATTTAAATCTACAAATGTAGTTGTTTAAAATCATTAAAATTTCCTTCACTCATCAATATGAGCGTCATTTATAGGACGATCAATCTATACTTTTTTATGGAAACATCCGTACTGTGTAATGATGATGCAGACAATTTATTTATGCATTTTACAGAAATATCTGAGATAGAAAAATACTTACAATAACAGATGAGGGAGGAAAGGGACTGACGAACTTTGGCTTAAAAATATAATGGAAAGTTAACGCACTTCAAAAAGCTAAACTGCCAATTTCTAAAACCATCAGAAATTCATGGGGAAAAGGTAATATTGTAAATTAATTCATAAATTTAAATAGGATAAGATGGGTTTAACATAACAGACATCGTCGTGATGGCGTTTTCATGTTTTTGTTTATGTATCAAAATCAATGCTTAGACAGTATGCTGTTATTTACTGGGTTATGAGCAAATCGTAAAAGATTGCAATTTCAAAGAATCACTATTCTTCGAATAATAATAAAGATTTTACAGTTACTATACTGCACTAAAGGAGAAGATCGACTATATTCAAAGAAATACGAAACTTAAAATACAGTTATAGAAATTTAAACAGAATGATTGTAACTTAGCACGGGGCTTCATATACACTACTCAAAATATTAAAGAAACAAGTGGCTTCAGCCACAAAATGTACACATGTTACTCTATTAAAACGTAGGGAATCTACTAAAATATACAGTAGAATTTCAAGCATTCAAACATTTAGCAACGTTTGTGAAGTTTTGTTTAGTGCGAGAATAAACAATTCGGACAAAAATTGCTTTCCAATGCAGCTGCCTTTATATTGACCACTAGGATATTTCCTTAGAGCAAGAAACATGAAAAATATAACTTTGCCTACGCCAACTCGAATCTTCCACTTACTGAACGCATTAACCGCTTATATCGCAACAGCATAAACGGATAAATGCGATAATTCCTTAATATATGTTCGTCTATTTTTAAGAATTCTTTGATTCAAAAGATACCCCAACATGTTTATTTACTGGAATTAGCACGGCGGTTTGCAAGAAGACCAAGACATAGCCAATGTTAATAGATACAACATAGTGTCAAGATCCATAATTTCCCGACTATTGAATCGATTCTTAGATAAAAAAGTTTTCTTTAAAGGCATGATCATTCTTGTCCAAAGGGCTAAGAAGCATCAAATTTATTCGGTTAATGAATAAACCGTTGTCTGGAGATCTCCAAGTGGAGGCAAGATAACTTCTCTGACAAATCGAAATTCAATATAGCGTCGGAAAATTGAGCGAATTCTTCTTTGCCTATATTTATCTGTTTGTTTGTCTATATAGAAAGATTATAGTACATAAGCCAACTTACTCATTTAGTGCGGAAAACGTTTTCCGTTCAGCGAATGTGGGCTCGTGGTTTTTTGGTACACATAAGCGAAATAAATTCTCAGCTTAATTTTATTTCTTTTAACCAAATAATACCAAATCTCACTGCGGTTGGCTAGTGAGTAACATATGTATTTGAAGGGAATTTAAAGCATGTGACTAATGGCATATTTACAGGACTATGTTGAAAGATGGAACTATAATTAGCAATTTTTATTGTCAAAGGGGAAATATTTATGATAGCTACATTCTCATTTCATATGTATATACTTGGTCATCAGTCTTTTCTAAGTTATTAAACGTTTCCGAAAAAAAAGTTTAGGATAACAAGTTTATTAAAGCTGTTAAAAATGTTCCAAGGAAAAGAATAGTGCTAACTTATACTATTGACGAACCCTAAATTAAAAAAAAAAAAAAAAAAAAAAAAAAACACTCAGGCCACAGAAGCTATATTTGAACTTTTGAACTTCATTCATGGGACCGTTTTTGCTATGAAGAAAAATTTTTGTCGTCTGGCTTATTGCTTGTTGTTGGAATGTCAAAGCGCAAATCAAGAAAATATTTTTTCACTTGAAGGTTAAAATGTGTGATAACGAACAGTAATATCCGGATTTAGAACATTTCAAACTGCAAAAGAAAAAGAATTCGGATCATGAAAGAAGGTAATCATGACTTTACCAATACTTTAAATGAACGTTAGATAATATTTGTGTGAAAAAGATTTTAATCTTGTGGCGTAACATTTTGTAGCGAGAGTGCAATAAAAAATAAATGGTAATCAGTAAACCAATAATATGCGTACGTTTACTTCTTTAAGAATTTTCAGCTATTTTTTTCACAGAACTGACACTAAATTTAGTTGACAGAATTTAAAATTCATTACTTAATAATGTATAATTTCATAGAAATCACAAAAGGCATGATAAAAAGTGGGCAAAATAGCTCCGAAAGTCGTTCTCAATAACCATACATCTAATGTCGTACAGAAATAGTTTTGTTAATTTATAATCATGATTTTCAATTCATAAGACTTTTAATGGAATAATAAATGTGATTATTGAAATATTTTAAAGTTAGAATATAATAAATTCGCAGATATACAAAACATTTTTCTGCTGGAGTATTTTCTTCAACTTTATAAGGTATTTCTCCTACTTTCTTGACGAGCCATCGTGGTGCAGTGGTCTGCACGCTCAGGGCGTAATTGAGAGGTCTGCGGCTCGATTCCCGGAAAAGGCGTTGGGTATTTTTCATCTTGTCTGCTTCCAGTAAAAACTACTAAATGTCTCTACAACTAATCTGTATTCTTTCTTCTACGTCAAAGACGAAATATCATGGTCAGGATAAAACCCTGTAAAAGCAGACAGACTTTAACATAGATGGATATACATGTAGTTTGAAATTTAATACAATTAAAATTTCGTTCCACTATTTCCACAATATCTTATTTATAATTCTATGCTATAGCGTGTAGATCAGATCGTATTCGGTTGCAACTTAAGATTTCTGTCCTTTCTAAAGCAATATCTAAATGCATTTGATAGCACTTTATTCTAAGGATCTCAATCACAGTTCATTGTGTCAAAGATTTACAGAATAAATAAGTTTTCAGATTTTATTTTCAAAGCGTTTAGTATTTTTCTGATATTTCATTTTAAAGAAAAGAACTGTTTTCCATTAAGTGGCACTTGCACCCATTGATGAAGAAAATGAACTCTCATATTTAGGAAATCATAATTTTCTAGACGCGAAGACTTTTGTCAATTAATAGAAGTCATGAGATTTTTTAAGAATTTTCTTGAGAATTAATAATTACGAAGTTTAAATGTAAAAATTTTCAAAAATCAAAACTTAAGATTTACTTTAAATATGAAGACATTTCACGATGGAATTCTCGAGCAGAGTCACTACAGTTAAACAATTTTCCTCGAAGTATTTTTGGAGCATTTTGTTTTTCAAAAATTAAAGAAAGCATGTCAAAATCCTTAGAAAGAGCTTTAAAACGTATTAGCATTTTGCATGTGAAGCAATATATATAGCAAATTATAAGTTTAACAACTGAAGATAATTTGAAGCATTGGGTAGCTTAATTCATTTTCAGTAAACGTTTTCAATTTAAAATAACGATTTCTTGGACAGAATTACTTATCTAATTTGCTTAAGTTCAGCAGTTTTGAATAAATTTATATACTTAGCAATGCTGTTCATTAGATCCAGGAATTTTAGATTAAGTGCGTATATTATTTTATTTAAAATTTGATTGATTTTAGGCATTATGTATTCTCTGAATATACAGCTGGAGTAAAAGTATGAAAGTTTTCGGACGAGAAATCAGAGCGGAAAATTTTGATTGATTTGTAAGTGACAAGATATGCGAACAAAAGAATGCAGAATAATAAAAGGATATTTATACGCATAACTTAGCCTTTGCTATAAGATCCTACCACTCAGGGTGGGGGTTGGAGACAAACAAAACAAAGTTAGCTCTTCCAAAAAGAAAAGCATGGACACTTTTTTGGACAACGTGTTCCTAATAGGAGATGAAAAATTATATTTTTCGGTTATTAATGCACATGCAAGAATCCAAAAAGAGTTTGAATAATTTTAAAGAGAAATGGAACTTGTACCTTTTTGGTTCCGTTGCATTCTTCCTTCTCCTCATACTGCAAGTAAATAATAAATACTTTTTTTCACATCAAATATAAAGACTGTTTTTTTAAAACATTAATTTTAACATTTTTAACACATTTACGGTTTTCGAGATACTTGTTTGCAGGAATTTAAATTTTATTTGACTGCGTTTTAATAGACATTCTATAAATAGATATTTACAACAAATTAATGCCTATATGGAACTTCTCCAGACGAGAAAAAGTAAGATAATTTCATCGAAATATGCAATTTTATTCTCGTGGAATGTTTGGTTTAATGAAATATAATTAAATGTTTTAATTTTTTTCAATGAGAAAAAAAATAATTTGTTTTCACTAAAAGGTACGTTAATGTAAAAATAGTCACATAAAACTCCTCTAGGAGAAAATTAAAACTCAACATTATTGTTGTTAGTTATGGTCACATGTCTGACAGTAACATCAGCCCAAGCCCACGAAAATCCTCGTGGCAAGGAGCGCAAGATACGCTTGTCATTTTCAACCAGCCTTGATCACCTTACAGGTGACAGTGCGGTTTAGCTCAATTCCGCTCCCAATTTTGAGAGAGAGTACCCCAGGGGGCGGGTCTGAGGGTTGATGATCCTCCCACCCTTCTCCCCTTCCACCAAATCGCATGACAGCATGAAAGGCCTCTCGGCTCTTCGCATATTTGGAGGGCCGCCATGCCGCACCGACACTATACATTTACAAACATCCGTGCCTTCTCCGGGATTCGAACCCGAGACCCTCGGATGGCAGTCAGCGAAGCTAATCACTATATCGGTTGGGCGGCACTCAACATTAACTTTAAACTTACAGTATAAGAGCACTTTAAATAGTTATTGGTTTATTTATTTATTTTATTGGAAACAAAACATTTTAGCATAATATAGAGTACTTTTAGAATATTATATTTGCTTTTATAGCACTTTACAGTCTAAACAATCATAAATGAATTAGTTAATTAGAAATTTATTTCAAATTAATAAGTCTTTCATAAAATTCAGTCTCACTTTTGTTATAAATAACAATTATGAAGAGAATGAATTTTATTCTGCTTAGAGAAAATAAGGGTACTATTTTAAGCGTTATTATAAGTTCTTCTTTAAAGAATTTCATGACAGTAAAAATTAACATGTAGAAAATTTTAATTTCGTCAGTATAAACACACCGTTTTAAATTTAATTCGTCAATGTAAATACATCGTTTTAAATATAACATTATACTAATTTTTATGTTTGAAATTAAATTTCACTTTATAAAGGCTTTTGTTCGCTTTAGCACCTCCTACTCAACGTAATGATTTTGTATAAGCATTCTACAGAGAGATAAAATAGCCAAATTCATATAGAAAACGATATAACACACTCACCCCCCACACATAAATATAAATGAAAAATATTTCAAATTCTTCTTTTTCAAATATAGCTAGATATAAAAAAAATAATATAAGATAAAATTAAATAAATTGTAAGAATTTAATAAAATTTGCGTAACATATAAGTAGCATTTTTAGTAATTATAAACCTCTATTATTTAGTTCGTTTTACTGGTTTTTAATTTTTTACATTCTATTCTATTATATTTCATTTTAGAGAATCAAGTATTTTCGACCTTTCAGAAACTAATTATTTTATAAGCAGTTTCTGGAAAGATTCAGTTAATAATAATGAAGATAATAACTTCATTATGCTTTCGCGACTTCCCAAGTTACTTATGCTAGTAATGAGTAGTTGAGTTGTAATGAGTTAGTTGAGTTTTAATAGTTAAAGAAATTAATATTTAATAAGTTTCCTCTTTAACCTATCCCTGCAATTTTATATTTACAGTTTAAACTTTTAATACTGAAACCTTAAGAATATTTTAGACTGAACAAATTTGGTATACAAATAGATAAAACTCGAAATTTTACAGAAATAATTGCAGAAAACTCGAAATAATTGTAGAAAATTTAATTAGTGCATTTCGAACATATCTATTTATTGGTGACATAAATAAGTGCTAAAAAACTGGAGCTAATTTAAAAGGAAACCTGATGTATCGGTTAGATGTAAAAGGAAAATTCTGTCACATCTCTTCCGAAATCTGTCGTATCGTTTATTATTTGTCAAAATCAATCTGAAATTTCATGCTAGATCTTGTACAAGTTTTTAACTTCAGTTTAAATTTAGGAAATAATAGTAAAACTCACCATTCGCAGAGATATATTTTCATCAGCCACTTTGATGGTAGGGGAATTTGTGAGCCGTTTGCGTCGCAAGTAATTCACGAAGGTGAATTCAAGCAGTGCAGTAAATACAAAAGTAGTGCATGCTCCCATCCAGACATCGATAGCTTTTACGTATGACACCGGTGGCAGATTACTTTGAACTCCAGAACTTTTGGAAGAGATTGTCAGAAGGGTCGTCACTCCAAGAGTTATCCGAGCTGGAATCGCTTCTACGTCTAACCAGAATGACACCCATGATATAACGACGATCAGAACAGTTGGGAGGTACGATTGAACCAGGTGATAGCCTATAGAGCGCTGTAAGTTGAATTCAGCCTTCAGGCAACTGTATTCACCTAGTGTAAAAGAATACGAATGAAGATAAAAATAAGAAAATACTAAGGAATACTGGCCAACCATACTCACACTAATGGATGACAGATGTAGCGTGCCATTAAAACTACTGCCAATCGTTTTAAAAATAATTGAAAACAAAACTTAAAATGTGCACAAAAAGAAAATTTTAAACTCAAAGTTTAGTTCATTTAGATAATTATTTTTATGTTGTGCCACTAACTACGTTATATTTGTATCTTATCTTTATAGATATCACACATTACTACCTGAAATTAAATCTGCGATATCAGTTACGTGAATCATTTCAGCGAGAACGTGTAAGGATGTGTAAGGTAACGTGTAAAATTTAGGAAAATGTTTCTTAAAATCTTAACCCAGCATTACTTAATATGTAAATAGATCGTGGGTTTCAGAAAAATTAAAACATTTTCTTTTCCTTTATCTTTAGCTGCAATTATCTCATTCCTAAATTATTCTCTTTTAGGACTCTCCTTTATTTTTCAGTGGAACTACCACATGTGGGTCACAATTAAGTGTTAGTTTAAAAATTAAGTCACATTGCTAAAGAGTTTAGAAATTACGGAATTAGAAGTTGGGGAAAATAAAAAAATTAAGCGACTAAATGGAAATTAATTAAATAATATTGGGTAAAGTTTGAGCCTTTGTCTGCTGCTTTCCTTACAATTTAGTCATATTAAAATAGTTCATAATAAGCCTGTGAAGACAACGACAAATCTTATTCCACGCGTGATGACCCTATTTGGACGAGTAAATATAGCACATGAGCAAGCAGTGTTTCTAAAATTATAAGGTATTTATCCCACTTCCCTAGCGTGCCTTCGTGGTGTAACGGTAAGCACGCTGGGCCGGTATTCCAGAAGTCCGTGGTTCGATTCCCGGCTAAGGCGGTTGCATATTTTTCATCTTTTCTGCTTCCAATTAACCTAATGTTTCTACAAAATGGCTAGATAAAATAAAATGCTCATCCTTTTACACAGTCTTCAAGTAAATAACATGGAGGTAGTTTAGATATTTTAAAGACTCTTTACTGATTTTACATTAATTAATATACAAAAATTGATGAAGCTTTATATCCTTTCTGACAAAGTTTTGTAAAAGCATCCATCATCATCAGACTAAAAATCGTATAAATTTAGAGTATTATTTATTTTATTTAATAACATTTCAACACAATTCAAAAGATGTTTATATATACATTTAAAACTGATTTAATGTTTGCGGTACTTACCAATGTGAAATTTCTCACTGCAGAGAGAAGTATTGACGCTTTTGATCTCAAACTGCGGAAGTTTTAACTTTTCAAATAAATTTACTGGATTTTCCTCCGACCATTTCAAGTTCAGTTCGTTTGTCGTCTTTGAAACTGAAATCGGAAAGAATTAATTAAACTGAGATATCTTATCTTTCAGATCTCGTTATATTAATGATCCTTCATAATGCAGAGCAAAGTAAATTAAATGTTCTGATTATTACAAAGTAAATAGTTGAAAGTTATATTTAATGGCGATGCTAAATAATTCATGAAGGAAGAAGTAAAACGGAATTTTCAGTTCCTTAATTTGAGTTACTTTGGCAATTAGGGATGAAATGAAATTTTCAACTGCTATTGAATATCTTTATTATTTTTATTTACTCAACCACAGACTAAGTTAATTTTAAAACCTCACTTTGCTTGCCAATGAAGTATTATTATGAAGTAAGGAACCGTAAAATGTTTAAAGTGAAGAGTCTTGAAAAATGACAACTCAGGTATAGCAAAAGTTTTAAAAAGTTAATTGGAAAAGTTTGTACGTCTCTAAATCGATCTGCGACTTTTAAGAAGCTTAAAGCAATTAATACATAAAAGATAAGCCTTAAGCTCTTTAAGTCCTGTATCTAAATTAAGGATTTACCATCCGAAATAAAAACATGAATGCTAAAGCTGAATTTAAACTATTGTGACTAAAATGGAAAATCAGTGGTGCATTAATGTTGAAGAAATTCAAAGAAGGTGGGCAAATGAAGCATTAATTAGATGTAGCTATATAGGAAGAGTGTTTATTTAAAATCTTAAAGCATGTATGTAAAAATAAATGTAAAGAAGATTAAAATAGGGAAGTGTTTCGCTTAAAATCTCTTCTTTCATTTTGCATAATTTCCATAGAATGCTATTCATTTCAACACTTGTTCTCATCACAGATAGAACGAATAAAGATAACAGAAAACTAAAAGTTATTTTTAATGAAGTCAAAGTTTCCCCACTTTTGAGTAGCACAAAGATAATTCTGAATTAAAATATTATTCCTAATTCAAATTCTAACAAATATATGTGGGAAGTTTGATTATGCTTTATCAAGACTTGTATTTCTCTTGATTTGCTTTGGAAACATGATGAGTCCTGATTGGACAGGGAGTTGATTACAAACTATGTCTTAAGGAGAGTTGAAGAGATCACAAGATAAGAAGGGTTTGGTTACCCTTTATTTTTCTTCAATAATACAGGTGCTCCCACACTTCGGGGTACAAAGACCAAACACTTGTGGTCTGAACGTAAAAGTATAAATACTACTAACTACACTCATGTCCATAAATTAAGGATAATGCAAAATCAGGCAAAGGAAGAGTTAGAAGCAAAACAAGTTTGACTTATTTGTAAAGCTTATTTATTAAACAAAAGGTAAAGAGCAAAAACAGATGCTATATGTTTGATATTATTAAAAAAATTAGCGATTTTGGAGCAAAATAAAAAAAAAAAAAAAAAAAAAAAAAAAAAAAAAACCTATTTACAAAAAACCAATATTACATGGTTGGTTTGATTATTAATACATTGTATGTCTCCCAGACGATGCAATACAGTCCGTACAACGCCTAGGCATGCTGAGTATCAAATTATCGATCTCATCTTGGGGGATAATACACCACTCAAAAAGCAATGCTCTCCGAAGTTCCGGTAGACATGTAGGAGGAGGTTGACGGGCTGCAACTCGTCGGCCAAGCATATCCCACACGTGCTCTCTTTGGATTCAAGTCTGGTGAGAATTCTGGCCAGTCCATACGGGTGATATCCTCCGATTGAAGGCATTCGCTTACGATGTTTGCACGGTGAGGACGGGCGTTGTCATTCATAAACACAAATTGTGCGCCCATGGCGCCCCGAAACAAACGTACATGTTGTTCCAGAATGACGTCCTGATAGATTTGGCTTGTCATGGTTCCAATTTGAACATGCAGGTCAGTTCTGGAACCCAGAATAATTCCACCCCAAACTAGCACTCCTGCACCACCGTTACGGTGTCGTTCAATGATGTTTTCTTGGTGGTAACGGGTACCTGGAGCTCTCCATATGAAAGTCCGACGAGAATCAGACTGCAAGCTAAACCTGGACTCGTCGGAAAACATCACAGAAGCCCACTGTTGCGGTGTCCACAATGCATGCTCTCTAATCCAGGCTAACCGCAGGCGACAGTGAGTTGCAGTATGTAGACCGCATCTGACAGGTCTACGAGCATATAGACCAATCTGCCCTAAGCGTCTGTACACGGTCTGCCTTGAAATTGTCGTATACCAGTGTCTGAAGAGAGCTGACGAGACAGGTCTGTGCTCCGCCTGTTTCTTTTGGCAGTAACTGCCAAATACAGGTCCTCATTTTGCGTTGTAACTCTGGGGCGACCTGTGCTATAACGTCTACTCACATTACCATCATCTTGGAATCGTTGCCAAAGCCTGGAGATGACACTCTGGGCAATTCGAAGTTCGTCTGATACTTCCAGTTGGGTACGCCCACATTCCAGACGGCCGATAATTCTACCACGTAAAAAATCATTCAAATGCGTCCTTTGTGTCATAACTATCCGGTTATTGCACTGAAATGCTTATAAAGCGCCTGCGAACAATTTTACTTCTTTGCATGTATTTTTTATATATCACTCTCTTACACTCTCATCATTGTGATGTACCATCGGTGTCATCTGATTACTTCCTGAAATTCGCATATGATTCTTTCCGCGTGACTCCGAATTATCCTTAATTTATGGACGTGAGTGTAAATAAAACTAAGAGATAACGTTGAATAGCATACACAAATACCTAACACTAAGACTGGTTTTTAAAAGATTACGTATGTAGTACGTAAGCTGCCGAAACTACAATACGTTTCAAATATCAAGAGGACTAATCCTCTGGCCTTAAAGGCAAACAGCAGCTGATTGAAAACTCGCGTGTAATGCAGTGGCAAGGTGGCTCACTTTCTCTCTATCTAACTATTGGCAAAAAGCCACAACTTAAATACTTGTGCGTTAGCAGTACAATTTGCATAAACAACACATTTGAATCTGGCCGGAAGTGGAAAATAAGAAGTGATAGTAAAGTTTTAAAATAAAATAAATGTTAGTAAAATTTAAGGTCTTTACAGTTCAATCATTGCCTTTAAAATTATTTCAGTAGAAAGCCTTTTCTGTTTTAAATGAACACAAATGTGCGTACTAATTTTAGTTTTAAGTTACCAAACGTTCCAGTTGGCTTACATCAAATTTGCTTAAATGAAAGTACTCTTAGGAGGGAGATATTAATACTGATTTGGAATCTAAATTTACATCTCACAGACCTTACTAAACATATAACTTCTAATCGCTAGGTCTCAAATAATCTCAAAGTACTGAAAAGAAGGTTTTAAAATAACTTTTTTATTTAGTCTCAGCTGAACATAAAGGACCCAACTTGTGCTACAGACAAACCAGTACTCATGGCTATTCAAATTGAGTAGTAACAGACAATTAAATTAAAACGCAAGTAACGTAGTCCAGTACTACAAATTCAATAAAATGGGAAGCTGGCTTAGTATTTCTTACCGGGGCTTAAGTTTAAAGCACCAGTGGCAAGAACGCAAAAGCAGGAATATCAATTTTAGATGGAGATGGCGAAAAACTAACAGCAGACACGTGTGCCAGAAGCTCTCTCTCATTTTTTCCTCTGTCTAAGATTTAAAATCCTCAGCTTAAATACAGTCAACTCTAATTTGCATTCTGGTGAGGAATATGGAAACAAGAAATTCTAAAAAATATCAAAATCGTAATAACTGGTTAATTAACGTAAGATATGTTACATACTATTAAGGATAGTATATGCAACTCCATAAATTTGTAGCTTCCATTAAATATAAAATAAATTCGCCCTTCGTGCTGAAGAAAAATACGTTTTCTAATTTGAGTTAAGCTAACTTTGGATGGTACTGTTATCTATGTCGTAAGTCCCTTTTTCTTCTGTGTTTCAAGTATTTAACTATGCAGATCTTCCTTTTCTTAAATTATGAATCTCTTACAGCTACTACGCTACTTCAGTGATTACGATTTATTTATTATAGTATTAAACATTTAAAACTATGTCTGTACGTATGTTACTGTTTGTAATATAAGAGAAAATATATTACATTCTTAAATATTAAGAGTTAATCGTGGACTTTTAAAATAACACGGCATTACTTTGCTGTCGATTGGGCAGTAGAGACAAATAGAAGATGCCTCTACTTTAGAATTACATTAATGCAGAAATACTGATCCTATCCTTTTAAAATTCTCAATAACATTACTGAGTCTCTGAAAGAAATATAAAATGAAACAGGTAAGTTATTCAAAATCGCTATAACAACTTTGTATTTAGCGTACATATATTAAAACACTCAATCGATTTCGAGGGCAGCTAAAGGTCCCTCCTTATCAGAAGAACGAAATTACTAGAAAGGGGAAAAAAGAGGAAAAATAAAGCATCGGCAAAAGGAGTCTCAGAAACATTCAGAAACATATGGTCGTTATCAGCACTGCATGTGGTCGTAACCGGATTTTGAATCAGAATTACACTGGCCGCCTACTTTTACTGAGCCAGGCTATCTGATCAAACATATAACACATAGACTAAAACGCAAAAAAAATCAGTCAAAAAATAGGGACCGAGGGGCAACTTCACTTTCACGCACCTGTCCGAACCTCATTCGAGGTTCAGACTTGTATTATATAAAGAATGTAATACACGACGTTTCATCCAGAAATTTAAATTTGTATTCTCGAGATTTAACTGAGCTCTTCTGAATTCTTTTACACTCAACATGAGAAACTTACTTAACATGAGTGTCGAAAGCTTATTCTATAAAATCCAATTTTTGTAAACTTCATATGGGGCAAAAACGCGAAATCTTACCACTTGAGTCTGTAAAAACATAAAATTCTTGATTGATCACAAAATCAGCCATTTGATTCAGGTAATACATTAAAGCGGCAAAAAGTGAATGTATATAAAGCAGTAAAGAAAAAAAGGAAGGTGAATTTTACGTTTTTTTATGAAGGGATGATAGAGCTTAAAAAAGTAAATTATAAACCCTGTTTGAATACAGTT